CTTATGGTACTCACGTAGTTAGACACTTATCAGCTTACAGTAGTTCGTTCACCGGAACGACCTACTTACTTCAGCACGTGCATATGACTTATCGTACACAACAAGCAGCAGTTACAAAATAAGGGACAGAGAGGAGACATTGGAAAGGGGTGTTGCATAGACCACTCACTTCAGAATTAGCGTACTTGAAATTCCTAATTATTGACAAATTTGCTTTGATTCCAACCTTACCCATAAAACGCGGCCGCTTAGCGCGAATCTGTCACAAAAGGTGTAATAAAGGAGCGTTTCGAGTTCTTTACTGTACAACAACATTTACACCTATCAATGAAATGATTTGCTCACATCTACGTTGCTCACGTTGGGAATGTAATTCGTGATATGTCACCTCAATATCAGATCTCAAATAATGCTACAGCAAGTGGAGGCACGCGGACTCATAAAAGTGCTGATAGAACACCACCGTGCAAATACCATAACAATTGCTCACCGACAAATAATGGGTTATCCGGGATCTCAGCGGAAGGCGCAGATGATGTGGTCATCGGACTATGATCTTGACATGAAGACAGCTGTTTTCATGGTAGTTCTTTCGCTTTCGCTAATGTGTCATCGACACACTAGGAATCCTACTAGTTTGATCAACGTCTACAAATCCAGTGATGCTCTTACCTACACTGGGAGCTTGCTCTTACTTTAAAATGCGTTGACTACATCAGCACTGCGTAGCTACACTGCTCACATGAGTGTACGACCCACTGAAACAACACATCATGGGAACTTTTTATCTGTAAAGGCTTTAAAAGTGTCATTTACGAGCAAGTCTTATCACTACCTCCTTCAAACGAAGTATTGCATTGTTTCTGATTACAACCCTTTGTCTTAACCATAACATGCATTTCCCAAGCCGAAGCGCACACCTATCGATACTCCAGATTGTTCGCAGTGGCGTGATTCCACTATGTATAGCGTATCGAGTGTGGCCAGATAGGCAGGCGAGCAAGGAAGGCAACCGTACGGTCCACCCGTAAGCCTTCAACACTTCCTTTCCAACAGCCTACAAGCTTTGCAGCGTTAAGACAAACAACCAATCGGCTTCTTAACACTACTCAGTCAGATGTTATCTCGCTCGCGTGGAAAGGAAACCTGCTTACGTCAACTTTCCAGCATGACCAATCACGTATTATGTCTCTGGTTGGCTGGCCACCATCGACACTACAGTGGTGTGCTCATACACCAGTTGCGGTCAACAGATAGGCGTTGTTCCAACGAAGAGGATTCCTAGTGTGGCGATGACACGACTTCAGTGACTGCTCGTTCGTCTCCACGCATATGGGCGACTTGGGTAATCAGTTACCGCTTCAGTGTCCATGGATACGCCGTTAGTTAAAGGTCGTAAGATGCATGTCAATTCTGCGTTTCAACATGATTTTTACGCTTCACTTCATGTGATTGATAAGCTTGAAATACCGGCTGACCCTACGGCCCTGATATGACCCGCCAACAAGCACTGCATACGCATTGTAAGCATAGGGTTTGGGCAACTTTCCTCCTTCAACAATGCCTCCGGAATTACCTACTTTCCATTGACAAAATGTTTCCCAGTATTTGCCTAGTCGGTAACAACGTGTCACAGCGTTCACACATGACTGCTTCTAAGACTGGCTGAAACAGTCGTCCATATCAGGATTAATGGGCGCGGTTGCTTTTGTAAATGATTGAAAACATGCTGTAGGACCTGTGGGTGAGACAACAGTGTTTGTCTGCTCCACGTACTCACTGGAATTACTCGAGTCAAATGCATGCGCCGTCACTAATTATTGGCCTTTCCGATTTTCCTTGTAGGATGCTGTAGTATTTATAAATACGGTAGTCTTTCTCCACTTTAAGTGTTTTTGATGAGCAATGCCGATTCTATGAGGATAGCATTCCAGTCAATGGAAGTAATAGGAAGGTTCCATCTGCATTGACTGTGCTTCTAATGGTGTCATTTGGAGAGTCAGTTGTGACTTTCATGATGGCGCTGAGCGCCGGTGGAGTACCTATGCTTGAAGGACCCGTTGAAAAGTGTATCGCGTTAGGGAACAACTAGGCTTGGTTCTGCCACGCTTGCCTTTGAAGGGCCGGATAGTTTCTCGATCACTGCACTTTTCACAATGCGGTCATGACTTCAACGAATTCCGTTGCGGTCAAAACCTCTCCAAACCTATGGGTGACCATATGGATGTGAAGCCTACTTATGCTATGAATACATAGGTTCCGCATCCTTCCCATGACTATTTTAAAAGGCGAAATATGTTGTCATTGTAGCTATTACTGAGTACCAAAGTCGCCCATTAGTGTGGAGACAAACCTACATGCACTACTATCGTGTCACCGCCCCACTAGGAATCCTTCTATTTGGAACAATGTCTACAGATCCAATGACGCTCTTTTCCAACCAGGGAACTAGCAATCAGCATACAACGCAGCCAGGACATAAGCATTACACAGTTACACTATGCAGCTCAGCGTACAACGCACTGGAAGATCACAACAGGTGGGCTGTGCAAATCGAACAGCTACAAAATGTCCATTTGTACCTAAGTCCTGGGCTTATCTAATCTCGTTTGCAACGGTCTTCCCATTTCCCGCCGCAAGCAAGTACAATTGTTGGGAGGAGGCCGTCGATTAAAAATCGCTTGTCCCGCAATGTAGAATGAATTATCTACAACAATGTTGCGCTGGCAACTTATGCCTATAATGTGGCGCGACGGATTGATTTCTAAGACCATTGCTTAAAGAGAATAATAGGTTAAAGTGCGAAGTAGCTACGCAGGTGAAGGTTGATTTCGGGACATCAAAGATTTCCAAGGAAAGAAGAGTTCCAGGTAGTGTGCACCACTTTTGTAAACCAAGCCACCTAATAAGAGCTAATGATTTGTTGGAAGCCCGATTTGAGGCCACAATAGCTTTGGTCATGTTTGTATTTGAGCATCAACTGTTATGAAAGTAAGCACCCATAGCAAATTCGTTGTTAAGCTTCAAGTTGGTCGGCCTACATCATTGGGGATAATGTCTCCCATGCTCGTCACAATATGAAAGGTGTCCTAGCCATGGCGCATATTTGACCAACCCCAAATGCAGGCGTGGCTGACTCACTCAGACAACACGGACTGCGGAATACTAGTTAGAAGAATGCCTGTCTACGCCACCATCGGAACCATGCTTAGGCACGTGAGATAAGTCATCACCAGGTAGTGGCTTGCGATCAGTAAGTATAGACCGCTTCATGTAGTCATTTGCCTGTCCGTCCGCAATGGTTACGGCGTACGCTCTAGATCATGTGGTAGCTAGGATCTCCTCCTTAGACAGGCAGCACAAGTTGTCCATTGAAGGGTTTCAGTATGGAGAGAAATCACCGGGGTTTCCTTCTGACGCTCATCAGGGCAGCACAGATGGTGGTGCTCGACCACGTACATTGCACTATCTGTCGCTTACGCTCGGGGCTTCCACCCGGTGTCCCATTGGCTAACGTTTCATGACCAATGAGAGTGGACCCGACTCAAAAACAGCGTACTTGTGCTCACGCACTTGTATGCACAGCACACGGTTTCGAAATGTGCCACGGTAAATTTTTGATAAATTTTGCTAACACACCTCATCTCACACTCGCAGACTACTAGTTTGCGAGGTGCACCGCTGTCTAACGGCTTATATCAGTTCGTAAGTTTGGCCACTTAATACCAGCTTCTTTTCAGTCTGCTCCGTAAGTCTTATGCTTAAATGCATACGTGGTGTGAACTGGGGAGTGACCAGGCTTTTATAGCGGATGCTTGGTAAGTTTCGTGGAAGCTGAAATGTCAGCGTGAAGCCGAAACGCATACAGGAACTGACTACTGCAACCTCTATTATCAGTTTTTTTCATCTCACTAGATTCAACATGTGAATACTCTACCAGGGTATTAATTTTCTTTGATATCGGCTACCGCATTCTTCGACGGCATCCAATATCAATTGGACTGACGGCAAATGTATTCCTGCCGGATGCACTTCTGTTGCAGTAGATGTCTTATTTGTCATTGACCGGGGAGGCGAATGTACCACGCGAATGTCGCTCCTTCTAGTGGCCGAACTGTGTATGACGATCTCTCCACGAACGGGTAACCCTCCTTAAAAATGTGGGATTGTTTGAAAAATCCCACTGCTCTTTGTAGTGCACGTAATACCTCAACCTAATTTGTCCCTTAGAGGACTGCCAAAAGTGCAAGATTGTATGACCCCGTGTTAGCAACCAAAAACGGACACTTAGGGTGATAGCTGGAACTTACTGAAATAGATCATATAAGTTAAGTACTGATCCCTCGGGGCAAAACGTACAGCAGCCGAATAAAAACAAGAAAGTAGAGCAGTACAACCCAACAGAAGGGAAAAACAACAGTATACCTGAAACGCAGTGATAAGCAACCCTCATCAAGTATTTTACACACTATAAAGACACAACCTGTAGTTTAAAACACATCGCATGCAGCCATGCTTAGCTTGATGTACCTAGTAGAAATGGTAATCAAACGCACAATCTTTTCGAAAATTTGTCCAGCTCGTAGCTGTGATGCCTCAAGTAGGGTTCGTCTCGACCACCCAGTGAACTGGACGCATGAGGCTAGAAAGCACAGAACGCATATAGCAGATCCAGAAAATATATTTACTAATTCTTCCGCACCATTCAATGTCGCTGTTATCGACGATCAACTACGTTCCAAGAAGTACGACGGGGCGACATGGCTGATACCCTTAAGACTTCTCTCACTTTATTTAAGTATAAGGCGTTTTGAAACTTCCTTTCAAGTGTATGAAAATCGATGAAGGCAAACATTTGTTCTTTTGTGCTGTCATAGATAGAATGGAAATAAATGCGAATTCATGGTATGGTACTGTGCTGGTCGATCATCCTATCGTGTTACTTGTTCGGATTCGAAGAGAAGTGCCGTTGTGTGACCACAGGATTAATCAAATGTCACTCACACTTTGTCGCGAGGAATAAATGTTCGTACACCGTTCATTGTGCCACATACTAACGGACGGTCCACTGCGTTTCGAAGCAGTTCCACCTGCAGCTCCCAAGCTCTCCGCTGCAAATGCAGTATCTCCATACGGACCATATGTTCCTCTACGGCATGCTCCAACAGCTGTTTCTGGGCCGCGCGCTCCACGCAAACGGATAGTCTGCTGGTATCACACACATCAGGGTTCATTAGCGTAGATGGTAAACATGAGGCTGCTATCAGCGAAGTATTCAGGTCATCGCTTGCAGCATTCGGAGTGTGAACGATTGAATGACCATCGGTTGGATTCGGCTCCCTCGAAGTGCTACAAGGAGTTGGGTTGAGGCAGAAGGCGAGATGCGACAACATCAATGCAACATGACATGTCTCTAACGAATGTACAGGAGCTTCGACCACCAAAAATAACACTTACACTGACCTTCCAACCTTTATTAGCGGATGGAGCGAAATGAACCAATCTCTCTCTAGAAAACTCAAACACTAAAATTCTGACCCATGTTGGACCAGGGCTATGGGAAACCCGCATGGCTAGTGGACTAACGTACGCATAAGAACAAGACAGAATTAAGGCATCATGTTCTCCAGTGAACCATATACCTACAACTTGCCACAGTTGGCTCTACAATTGTATTTGACCAATGGGTACACCATCATCACAGTAATCTCAATGTCGGGGCAGGTGTCTCGCGTAGTCTTCGATGATCCGAAGATGTCAAATAGCGTGAGAGAGAGTCAAATAGAGTGAGTCTATCATCATTATAAAAGAATGCATGTCAACTGATTGACTGAATCCCGTTGCGACGATCCGACTGATCAAATTACTGAGAGCGGACACACAAAGCTAGCCGATGTTTGAGTAGGACGCTAACTTGCGGTCACTAGAGGACGAAGGTGAAGGACCACGGACTCCTTCTATTCTGTGTCATGGCGCATTGCAGTCCTTTGCAATTATGCTTCCGCTTGTGAGTCTTAACGCACTGCTGTGGCCTAGCTGGAAGTTGAGTAACGAATGCAAGCAAACCGGTTTAAGCGGACGAGTTGTATGTTTCAGCCCACTGGTGATACACTGTGGTAAAAGTGGTGGACGCTCGCATAAGAAGGCCCAACACAATCGAGTTAGAAGGTCTATTGATCTGTTGTCTGTTGTGATGCCGCAATTATCGAAGTTAGTTCAATACTTAACGAGTAGTTAACTAAGCGCTCATGGAGTTTGGTCACGTATGTACAGGCCAACACACTGAAAATAGATCATTTCGGGCACAAATACAACTATGCTTAGAAGCTCAAATGTTTGCAGTGTGACATCAATGGCTACTTCGAAAGTGGAAGCATGGAGATTCCTACGTAGAGTGCCAATATACCACAACGTTGCAACGGCCGAGTACGCTCAGTTTAACCGGGCTATCACCCATAAATAAGCATCAAACCCAACGCTTGCAAATTGGGCTTCGTGCAGACCGCTAGAGGTACACAATTCTGATGCCCCATTTGTCATTAGTTAAGCTAGTAACTGACCTTAGAATTGCACCATGCACCGGCTGTAATACAGTCGGGTAAGATAACCATCCAAAGTTAGACCGATACTCTCTCTTATCATGCACCGGAGGTGCTACTCACCAAGCTCTGCAACTACACTGTCGATAACTACAGTTAGGTTATGTTAGCAATCGTGTGGGAAATACTAAAAAGATAGGATGGTTCGCAGAATACACGCCCACCCAATACATGCGCAAACATAATCCGGTGACAGATGGAAGAAGTTACGTCAGAATTCAATCCATCGATGTTATTCCGACTGCGTGACATGAGAGTATGCAATTTAGAAGTAATCCTCGAACTCGAGGAACAGATTTGAACCCCATCGAGAAATGGTGGTTTCAGAGAGATTTGAGAATTATCGGTTGATCTATTTATATAACAGTGTTCATACTGAGTGTAAGTTGAGTCTGTGCGTCTTGTCCCAAATATCACTTCCCTCAGTTGACTTCGTTTGTTGCACCAAACATCTCAGGTGGCATACACTTTTAGACACAGGGACAATCAACCTGGCAAACCGATCTCTCTAAAAGAGATCAAATTCACTTAAACGGCGCTCGAGACTTAACAACTTAAACTGAGGACTATAAAATATTACAGCGGCCGGTATCGGCGCCTACGTGGCGACCTAATTATGGCTTACCAGCTTCCTAGGTAAGCGATGACCAGGCATACGTAGCACGTGCCCGAGCCAACGCAACTTATTCAGTGCAATCGGTTGTTCTAGGGAGAGTGCATGATTATCACTACCTAGTACTCGCCTACGCACATCATCGTTGCGGACACGCTGGTGCCAGCCGACACCAGCGATGCTTTGAAGACAACGATGATCAAAGACTTGAAGGTACCTCAGATCTTCATACTGAAGGGGCCAAGTTTCATTACCATAGAGAAGAACGACCCTCACTGTGGCCTTGTATACACGGCCTTTCAGACGAAGGGAAATTCCCTTCTGTCGCCAAAGATGCCGCAGGTTCAAGAAAGCAGCTCTGGCCTTTACAATACGGGAGCTGACGTCAGTTCCTATGCGCCCATCGTTGGTGATGCAGCTGCCAAGATAAGTGAATTGATCAACCACCTCAAGTTCCTCCTTAGCAAGGGTCAAGGGCTCATAAGGTGGCTGATGGTCCTGCAAAAATACTTTGCACTTTGAAGGTGTGAAGTGCATACCAAATAATGGGGCCATTCTAGACAGGCAATTCAGGGTTGATTGTGCCACTGCAACATGGTCGAAAAGCAAGACGATATCGTGCATATAATCAAGAATAAGTACTCTTTCACCAGGCATCACTTCAAAGCCAACATGGTGAGGTTCCGCAAGGGAACACACCATGATAGAATCCACGACGGAATTGAACAAAAATGGGGAAATCGGATAACCCTGACGAACGCCACTTGTGGTCAGAAAGCTATCCGATAGGCCACCATAGACCCTGACGCGGCCTGTATTGTTCGAGTATAGAACACGAAGGATGTTCACATATTTCGTGGGAACACCTTTCCACGCATAGTTCGAAAAGAATCGATCGATCGACTGAAACGAACGCACACTTGAAATCGAGGAACACAGTTATTGCCGGTCTGCAGTATGCGTGGCGCTGCTCTAGCACCTGCCGCAAAGTGAGTATATGGTTTATACAGCCACGTCCTGGACGGAAACCGTCCTGCGTCTCTCTAATCCGAGATTCCTGTTCCCCAGTGAGGCGACAAACGAGAGTCGAGGTCAATAATTGTCACAACTGGCGTTAGGCTAGTACCCCTGTGGTTAGAACAGTCTGTGCGACTGCCATTCTTGTATGTTGCCACTATACTCGATGCGCTCTAATTAGCCGTGACACTCTCTTCCTTCCAGATACGTTCGAATAGGGAGGTCAGTACTTTGCAAATGACCTCACCTTCATCTTTAAATAGTGCAGGTAGAAGGGAATCCGGGCCAGCGGCACGAAAACGATTGAGGGCTATGATCACGTTTCGGATCTCGACCTCCGACGCAGGCTCTAAACTAACCGTCTATGGTTCCTCCTGCATCACCTGAGTAGGAGGAGGTCTGGGAGCAGGGGGCCAGCTGAACTGATCTTGAAAGCGTTCCGCCCAACGAGCCACACGGCACTCCTTATTGTGTCTCAGTGCACCTGCGCTGTCTCTGACTGTCTCACTGACTCCTGGTTTTCTGGGATCAGTGGTGCGGATTAGCTGGCAGAGCTTGCGGTACTTGTCTATTGCTCCTGTCTTCTCCATTTCTTGAGCCATACTGGTCCACCATGCTTCCTTGTCAGCACGTAGGCTCCGCTTTAGTTCGCGCCTAATAACCAGTCCGGTCACATTGTGTTCAGAGGCAGCCGGGAGGTGTCTTCTAGATTCCATCAGGTTCACCGACCTCTCGGATATCCAGTGACTGGTGCGGTGAAGATGGATAGTACCACAAGCAGATGCTCCTGCGTCGTGCATGGCGGCCGAGATCCTATTCTGCTGAAGCTCAGTATCATTAGAACAAGACAGCGAAAGTTTGGTACGCAGTGCGACTTAATAGGCTTGCCTGACCGAGAGTTGAGACAATTTCTAAGTTGCCAATAGGAGGAGACACTTGGTGCGCCTCCCGGTAAAGTTCATGGAGAAAAGACAGCGTACCAAGGCATGATAAGAGTCGACACAGGCACTCCAGTACGAGCGGCAATCCAGGATGGAACCACGCCACCTTAACTTATGGCTATGTGGTCAATTAGAGTCCAACGCTAACCAGCTACAGGATGACGCCAAGTGGCATTTCGGCGCCCACTGTTTGAAAGCAGTGCTACTAAGAAACAACTGGTGCTATGCATACAGTGGCAGCACTCGCCGTTGTCAGTCCGTTCGGAGTTAAACCCATAATTACCACCCAGCTGAGCTTCTGAAGAGCTCAGAGGCTCTACTTGTGCATTCATATCCCTGCAAGTACTATAATATCTGAACTAGTAGCACTGCGTATTAGCGCGTTCAGTTCGTCATAGAATGTATCTTTGACAGCATTTGAACTGCAGTCGGTGGGAGCATAAATGGAAATCACATCCAAATCGCGTTTTGTATTACCTAGTGAATCCACCTTAGCTGATGTCGTCAAACGGGCTGCACATAAACGGCTGTTCACCGAAATCCAATCAACCAACAATGGCTCAGCTTGGAGCTTAAAATGATACCTACATCACCTTGACCCGCGAGTGCTGCATCGGCGTCTCCGGATGCTTGCAAGCAATAACGAAAGGATAAGCCAAGTGTAGTTAATTCAATAACCTTGTTAGGGTCATTGATCTTAGTTTCGGATACACAACACACATCAATACCCAGTGTGTCCAAGGTGCGTGCGAGTGCAGCCTGTTGATTTGTTTGTCCTAGAGTGCGAACGTTGACTATCGCCATGGAAACGGGATAGCGTGGCCTTATAAGGGACTTTTGCCGATAGGCGTCCGATAGGTGCGGTGGGATGGTGGCTGCAGATGATTCTACTCCAGTGGCACTTCGGTTGCTCTCAATTAAGCTGGAAATTATGGAAGGAAGGTTAGTAATGGGGGCCGGGATGGGAGTAAGAGAAACAGGTGAAAAAGCAAGAACGTAATAGCATCTTTCCGATTATCCACCCTGCTGTATGCAGCAGAGAAGGCAACCCTTGATAATCTGCGTGACGGCCAGTGCAGGATGAAGTTTATGTTTGAAGAAAATGTCATGGTTGTATTTGGGCTGCGATACTGCCAGGGCGCCCTGACCTAGATAAGAGGACGGTTATAGTCGTCATCCAAAGCCTTTGACTCAAAAGCCTGTCCGCAAGGCAGCGGGGTGGCAATGATTTAGTTTTACAGAAATGGACGTCAACCCCATCTCAAACCCCCAATCTGGAGGACCGGGAGACTGAGTTCGTCTGACCTCTCATCATTGACCAATCTGGTAGGAGTATCTCTCAAGGTGCCCGGAGGCACCACCCAGTGTAGCTCAATGTGTCAAGGAGCTACACAAACGGTCGCAGCACGTTAGGGGTGCAGTCTCGTTGCGACGGAATTTGTGGGGCCGCATGTTCAAGTTAGCCACGCAATATAGTCGGCGAGAATTTTAAGGGAACTTTTACTATTTTCGTGTGTGCCGGCCATGGTACGCCTTCCCAAATTACGTTGTTTCCGCCCCCAATTTACCTGTGTTTAAAAACCTCTTAACGTCGCCCCTCACCCACATACCTTACGAGAGATTGCATGTGTGTCTCGACGGACGATATAATGTGACGAAAGTTGCACAACCAGATTTAACCTACACAGCTGAGGTTGGCCGCTTCTACATGCCTCTGTATTAACACTGTGGTGAGTCCACCAAAACGATTTTCATTTTATCCCTTTGTTTTCTATTCACCATGTTGTGGTTCTCTTTTTGGCCATCCTACGGGACTTGCTAAGCGTCCACCATTTTGTACGTAATATACCGTTGTTCCATTGCACCATTGGTGCAATGGAACTGATGATCGGGCTGAAGCGATATGAAAACTAAATCAATCGACTGTCTACCAATCTCTGTGAAACCACGACTTCTCGATCCGTTGCAAGTATATTCCAAGATTTCGAATAAAAATACGGATTTCGTATTCAAACTGCAAAATTAATCTGTTCGTATGGCGGGGATTGAGGCAAACGGTGAAAACGGCGTGTTTTCCACCTGATATGCCTGCGAAATAATACAATATACCGATCTATCGTAGTACATAAACCGCAACAATAGTCTTCAATCCATGCAGAGCAAATTTGAAGCTGCTTATTTATTTAGTAACCAAATGGTTAAAGGAAATCTACTTCGAAGCAAATCGACAGAGTCTCGATCTGAAGGCCTCCTTAACGCAATCAGAATATGAAAGACCTTTTAACGAAACTTCAGAAGGCAAATTTAAATGAGAATATGCTTTCACAATAAGACTAGTTAGTAAGTTCGACCGGTTTTTCTGTCTGTCAAGGCTACGGGCTTCAGTGGTGTGCCTGATCTCTGAAGCCAAGAAAGCAATCTTCATAGTAGACAACTACGGTGAACAAAACGTCTAGTTAAGGTTATGCATGCATGTTGTTGGAGAATGTTAATGCACAAAAACAGAAGCCAGAAGGTAGCCCGCTGACTGCGTTTAAGGCATGCCAATTACTGTGATTACTGTCCCACAGTGGCCCTAAGGAAGAGCAAAATTACTACGACCTACCAAATAGGGTGGATGGTACTACTTTGAGAAATTGTCCGATTGAAACCAGCGAGCAAACAGTGGAACTGTCAGTAATAATGTGACTTAAGTATGAGGCTATTTGGAAATGCCAATCAAGAGACAAGTTGGATGGCATAAAGAATAGAATCAGTCGGCATACTTTCACCTCTCGTAAATGTTAAATTTATAGGAGTGTTCTGACAAGTACTGTGTCCACAAAATAAGAAAATAGTTCAACACATGTTGAGCCAAGGAGACCAACCCGAGGATTGATTCCTTTCCTGAAACCTGGGCGGATTGATGGTCGAAACAGGTATTCACTAGTCGTTCTACGGTTGAGGATGGCAGCGCTGCGGTTTGTTGAAGTTCATTTACTGGAACCGACATGTGTTCTGGCTCTGCATCTACCGAAACAATTCCGCACTTTATATCCTCTTCATCACATGCTGGACAAGTTCCTCTGAAGTTGATTTGCCCATCAGACGTTGACACCGCTCCTGGTGTAGGTTGCTCCGCGGTATACGCGCAGGGACTTGGAAAGGAGACAACAGAATTCTGAGTAGGCTTCGCACCATCAGTGCTGAAATTCGTTCCAGCCGCAGCGTAAGATATGCTTGGAGTCTGATGTGGGCTCAAGTAAGACATGGAATAGCGTCCACCGCCATACGGTACATTTAACCAGGGGCTGTGCTTGGCGAGAAACTCCATGACCACTGAATTAGTCTCACTCCAATCCGAGTCATGTAAAACGTGACCGTTACGAATTTTTCGCTTGGTTTTAGAGACTAAATTCTCCCATTTCTTCTTTACCTATTCCAAATGGCACAAAGGAAAGCAATGAACATTTTGTGTGTAGGTTCATTCTCTGCGTCTGGTTTAAAACATCACTGACCTCAGTTAAAGTACATCAAAAGCATCAAGTGGCATTCAAATCCTAACACAGTGACAACCAAGCTAGCGTACCAATCGCCCTTAGAAGGACCACATTCATTAGGAACACAGTCGGTCGTGATGTACTGATACTGATGATTAGCCTGAAGCCGGAACTACTTCGAAAGAAAAGATGCGAGCAAATCTACTGTTATTTTTACGCTTGGGTCCAACGATCCAGGTCCTCAGGCCCCCTATGATAAGGACGTAGAGATATTTTTTACAGAGCCTGGTTGATGGGCTCCTCGATGTGGATGGGAAAGGAATGGAAGTGAAGCAAGCCACCCGCCTCAGTAAAAACACTACCGAGATGGACCGACCTGTGCCGGTAACTATTGCTGAAGAGGCCAGTCCGAAGCTAATACTGTCTTGGCTGAGTAGACTGGGAGGGGAGAGGCTGCATATTCGTCCGGATATAGATTCAGCTAGCCGGCAGCGCCTCAAGTGTGTTGTCATTGAGCTAAAGCGGCAAACCGGTAGTGTGAAACCTACCTACGTATTGCGAATTTTCAGGCGGTTACAACACGAAAGCGAATTCGAATAAATCGGTCACTCACTGTTCAGGAACGCTCAGGACTTCCTGTTTGTAGCCATTACCAATGGCTGCATTCCAATAAACAAGCGCGATGAGCTATGCTGCTTCTTTGCTTTCGAGTGATCAGATGCAATGGGACTCGCAGAGACGTCTTTGAACGATGAGGTACTTACTGAGGAAGCTGAACTTAGTGACTACTCCTGCTTCCGCTATGATGCGATATGGAATGCCCCGGCAGCATTTCGCTCTACCTCAGATCCTTGTGTGGGAGACTTGTAAGTGCCCGCCGAAGCGAAGTTAGTTTATGTGAACAGACTTGGTGCTCGATCCACCTCAGACGCGGAGAGCTGCTCGTGGGTGCATCTTATCACAATTCCCTGAGATGTTGTTTGCTTTGGCTGCCACATCTCCTAGCCCACATAAGGCGCCCCCATTTTCTACTCATAGGTGACTTCAAGTGTCCACAAATACTCTGGACTGATGTCCAACTTATCGCCGAAAATTGTGAGGCCGAAACAAAGTTCGCTGAAATGGTACTTGAAACCGGGGATGCACAACACATCTGTCAACTGACGCGCATAACACCGCACTCAACTCCATCGTGCTTAGACTCGATGTTAACCCACTGTGAACGACGTAGATATGCAATCCGAATTCTGAAGCTGTTAGCAACATGAGACTGTCAACAGGGAGCTGCAGTTTGGGCAACCCTACGCACTACAGCGAGCTTACGATTATTAAAAGACGGATTTCAACGGCATTGATCAAGCCGTTAGCCAAGTGGATTGGACTCTACCACAATCCTCAGCTGATTAAGCTTGATGATTTGCTACAAAGAATGTAGCAAACTCATTGTGAAACCGGTTTGTGCCACCAAAGTGTCAGAAAGTTGGACCGGTCAAGCCACGCTGTTTCGACAAGGAATACGACTAACTGGCTCGGCGGCGGAGTAAACCGTGAGCCAAATTCATACACTCTGGATTGGTTGACGACTACGAAGTATTTGAAAAGCAGCGAAGCATTTGCAACAATGTGAAAACGAGCAAGCGCCATCATTTCGAAAAGCATCTTGCAGCCGCCGCAAAGACTGTCCCGAACAGAAACTTTGCGTACTTGCAGCGGTGTCTGCAGCTAGCAGGTGACCTATTAGTGATAGAGGGCGCGGACGGACAGTCGCTAACATCCAGCACTGAGCGCGCCTCTGCCTTGGTGTCGCACTTCGCCTCGGTGTTTACAATTGACCAGGTGTCTGTACCGAGTTCGGAGTGCACTGCCCTTACCGAACCAGACCGTTTGGTGAGAAAGAGGCGCGCCAACTACCCGCCAAACTTGACAGCACCAAGCCTGCTAGCCCTGACATCTTCCACACCTGAATGCTCAAGTCATTATCGGCTAACATCCTGCCTGCAGTCACTGACCTGTTCTATAAGTCCCTGTCCGTAATTCGTTGCCGATTGGTTAGAAATGCTTGGCGGTACATATGATTTCGAAAGGCTGTGCCCCCAGCAAGATAGACAGTTACAGGCCAATTTGTTTGACATCTATTTTGGCCAAGGTTTCTGAGAAGATTGTGAGGAAGTGTTTGCTACAGCTGTTCTGGTCAAAGGGTCTCCTGACGCTCACACAACATAGTTTCAAGCCAGGTCGTTCATCTATCACCAACCTGCTCGTGACGAGGCATGAGTGATTGCAAGCAATGAATCAGATGAAGTCTGTCGATGTGATGTACATCGATTGCAGCAACGCGTTCGACAAGGTGAACTATGAAGTCTTCCTTCTCAAGCTGAGAATATGCGGTGTTAGTGACCCACTACACCAGTGCATCTGGAAGTTTCTTAGTGGACGAAAGTGTAGGTTACAAGTCGAAGTCACCTGACCGACTAGCACACTTAGAACATTGGCGTACGCCAAGACACGGTGTTGGGGCCCACCTCGGTCCCGATTTATATCAACTACCTACCTCAGTTTCTTTGGTCCCTGTGCACCATGTTTGCGCATGGCCTGAAGATGTGGAGAATGATAAGTACTTCCGATGACTGCGGCCTACTTCAGCAAGACCTTAACCGCCCTTCCGTGTGGTATGCAGAAGTCCGCCTCGCGGTCCATCAATCCAATTCGGTATTCATGGAATGGGGGAAATGCGATGACGGCCGAACCTACAATCTTAAGGCTAACTGCTACATCCTACACCTTTTTGAAGGACCTACGCGCGCTCTCATGTTGCGATTTGAAGTCCGTGGACAACACGAACAGGCTACACGGAAACGGACTGCATATACCGTTGGCGCTAAAACCTAGCTTCAGCATCTGGTCTGAAAACGTGGTCACTCGCCTCTTCTCTTTAGTCATCAGAGCAACACTAGGGTGCGGCTCGTCTGCCTGTTGCCGACCACTCAAGTCGAGGTGTAGAAAATTGAACAGGTCCAACACGTCACTACCAGTCTCATCTTCAGTTTGCAGGAGTTACCGTATGGGGGCAGATGCGGGAGGTTAAAACTACACACCTCGGCCTATCGTCGATTGCGAGTCGACCTCATCTCGGCCCACCACATTCTAAATCTACGTTCTTTTCCCATACTGAGATCAATGCTCCACGTGCGAACAACTGGCGGCACACGCAGACACCAGTAGAAGCATGTGCTTCCAGATAGAAAGCGAATTCCATACCGCTGTGCTTTAAACGGAGAGTGATACATTTCTGGAAGCTTTTGCCGGAGTATATATTGGAAGCAGACTCAGTGTAGCAGTTCAGACCATCGTTGATAGTGTATTTTTCCAATGTTCAAGTACAAAAATGTTTATTCACTGACATCCCCCATTTGTGAGTCCCAATTTGTTGTGAGTTACAATTTTTACGATATAATGTTAGAACGTGAAATCGATCAGGGTGTTACCAAGTTTTAGGCAATCTACATTTTTAACGTTTTTGATCGTAGTTTGGTGGAATTGTACAGATGCAAATTTCTACTTGTTCTCATAATACAGCATTCTGTATTCAATACTTCGCCGTAGCGTACCGCCGACGTAATCGTCAACGAATTCTGATAACGTTACACAAAAGTAGCCGGTAGTTTACACCTATAGCAAACAGACATCTTACGGACACCAAAAAATAAAAATTAAGAACATAGTAGCATACCAACTAATTGGGCCAAAATAGAGAAACAACAGTTACGCACAACAAAAAACGTCAGAAAAAGTTCCAGGAAAGGAAGTTGATATGCTGAATTAACATAACTCTGAGATGACACAAGTTCAGTAACAGGCAAACGGCGATGTCACACAGCAAAGATATCTGGGGCAGCTAAAAGCAGCGCATTGAGACATAACTGCTGGATATTGTATTGGGAAAGGTAGACATTTGCTGAATAACCTATAAAATGCAGATATACCTATAAAAAAGATAGGAACTTTAGATTTTCATCCTGTTGTACTAATTCACTGAAGACGCTAACCCACATATTCTTCGCGTTATGTGCCTCTGATTGGCGCTTTTCTGCTTGCTTCTTATTGGTTTTGTCTAGTCGTGCGCTATTAATGCTCTGGTTGTTTTTACCTTTACGCGTCTGTGAAATTTCAAGCTGAATACACAATGCAGTTTTACAAGGAAGGGAACTCAAAATCCTGCAGCAGCAGCAGCAGCAACAGCAACAACGACGACAACAACAAAAACAAGAAGCACTGTTTGCGAAATCGCAAAATCAGGTGATAGAGTTGCTTTCACTGAAGTTATACACCAAAACCGAATCTGCATGGGTGGTTTCACGGCCATACGTAGACGCGGTTGCAGCAACAAGCTCTGAATTTGTTTTGTATGAACTAAGTGACGTTTGAATCATGGTTATAAAAATAAGACTTTTGCCAAGTGAAAGTGGCTTATCAGGATGATATTTAGCAAGTTGGGCTGTTGTTGAAAAATTTGATACTGTTTAGTTTGAACAATGCACGAATTTCGTGCTGCCAAAGTGCAGAATCCTTACGAAGGATCATTGAGAATCCTTGATGAAACTGCGGCGAACTTAGAAGCTCGTAATACTGAGACCTGCCAAGGGATCTGGAGTTGTGATTTTGCAAAAGTAACACCACATTCAGAAAGTCCAATAAAATTCTTGCGGATTCTAATCCTTTTGTTTGTGGTTTAACAAACCGAGACAAAACCGAGCAGATGGAGAAGTTAATAGTCCGTGAATTGAAGCTAGTGAAGACCGGATTGATGGATGCCAAAACGATGACTCAGTTACGCTCCCAGGGGATCACGACTTCCCCACACGTATGGCTTACCGAAAACTCATAAGGAAGGCGTCGCACTACGTCCAATCGTCTCAATGGTAGACACACCATACCA